TAGGGTGATAACAGTACTCCGTTTGTGAGCAATAGGGTGGTTGCTCTTGTAACGAAGGATAACATCATCATAGATCTTTTTGCGGTAAACCGATGTTTGAAACGTTCCGTCAGTATTACACTGTACGAGAACGTCAAGAAAGGGGAGTTTGTTGTCAATTTCTTTTTCGAGCGTAAATGTGGTTCCAGGTATTGTTGAATTGATAATGTTGTGTAGTGTTTCCAGTGTTACAGTCTCAAAAACCCTAGTAGACAATTTCGTCACGCACCAGTCTTAACTATTGGTGTCACTTGTTCTGCAAGCCAATACGCATATATTTATTGGCTGTTAGTAGACAGATAATTACTGACCTGAATAAATGGGTCAGACGTCCGTTTAAATACTTTCATCAATCCACACTTTGTCCAAAGTTCTGTGAAGTCTACTTCAAAAGAAGAGTTGCATGCATTTCAGCGAATATCTGGAAGTAAACACGAATTCAACTGGTAGATACGTTGCACAGGACATTTTTAGATCTGCGGCCTTAGAGGAAAACGCATATGACTTGAACTGGGCACCGGAGCCTTTCAACCCACCATTTTTTCAAATTATTGATTTAGTCAGGGGAATATGGACAAAAAGATAGTTACGAACTTTATGTCATATACCTCAGTAAACTAGACTTTCCTGGAAATAATTCAACAAGAAGATGAACGAATTCGTCCACTATGGTAAGGTTGTCCTCTTGACGTAATTATAGGATAGGTCTCAGCGGCATTTAGCCGTCTATTTTAGATTAGCGCTGACCTTACAACAACTTTTTTATCCTTAGCAATGCCTTTTTTCCCCATAAACAAAAAAATGTTTTTGCGCTCTAGTTTATTTCTTCTTTTCTTCAGTGAGACGAAATCATTCCTTATAACCATCACACAGAATAATTTAAAATAAGTCATTTGCCAAAGTCACCTTTGATAACAGAAATCGTTGCATAAAACATAGACACTGGTGTACATGTCCTAACTATGCCTCACTATCAGACATATAACTTTGAAAAAATGTCTCTGCCAAAGCCATTTACCTATACAAAAATATTATTTCATATTGCAACTCCACCTCCTCAATGTCATCTATACCCTTAGACACGAATACTAGGGCCCACAAGTCAAGGAAGTCTGATTAGCGCAGGTAGAACTGAGGAGGCAATCATACGAATTTTAAGCATTCCATCAAGTACTACTAAAAAAGAGAAAACTGGTCGAGGACGGAAAATGTGTTTATTTGCAAAGCCTTGAAACTCACGTAGGACTGCACTATCCGAAAAAACGACAGTAAAGGGACAAAGAACAATTATAGGGGATATTTGCCGATCGCAGATCAGTACCACACTGCACCCGATCGATAAATCGATTGGGTGAGTTCTCATCAAATGCGTAGATTATAATCAATTAGGACTGTTTTCGGTATCGGCAGTTTTCCATTAAGCCCTCTCCTGGTATTGGGTAAACAAAATCAACTGCTACCTATTTTAGGAAGGGAAAATTTAACAATTACCCAAACAATGTTTAAATACACCAATAATGCCCGAAATTGCGAGCACGCCATTAAATATACTGAGGAGCTAGAACTGTAAATTGGAGATAACAAAGAAAGCTATGGTTACCAGTGAGATAGTGCAAAAGAAAGGATACCAGCCAGTGATCACTAGACAAATTTAATACTAAAGTGTGTATAAGATTTAGTTAAATCCACATTTTTGTGATTTTCATGACTTAAGACATAACTGGGTTTCAAAACGTTGTTATCCTAACCCCTAAAAATAAACGTATGTCTGAAAACTAACCCTGAACCAGACGCCTTAAGCCAAAACCAAAACCTAACTCTTGACCTAAAGTCAACTGCCCACACAAATGCTAAAAATTGTGAGCGGTGCACTGGCGAATGATCAAAGGGGAAGGTGGTAAGATTAGGTCTACCCACAGGATGTAGGTAATGCGTGAAATTTCTGCAAGATGGGGCCACATAACCCATATACAACATTTTTTTGACAAATATAAATGAGAAGAACAGATTTCGAGCAGCGAAACCGATAATTTATTAACTGCAAGTTTTGAATTTACTTTCGAACCTATCAGAGGATGCAACGAAGGTGGCTTGCACACAGGGCGTAAAGCTTCCCATAGACTTCCGCCATTATGTCACTGCACGTCAAATACCATCAGCAAATCTCACATCCACCGCCCTTCTTAATTTATCGCAATCCCGTAATTCGGGTTAGCGAGTACTGTGGTCCTTTCTGAGAAATCAGACCTACCGATACAGCCAGCGTAGCAAGTGTTCACGAGCACGCTACATGGACAACTAAGCACTATGAACAGGAAAAAACCGGGAGATAACCCGGAGGGTGGAGGTTATTTATGTTATTTATAAATTTCAGGTAACCGAACCACGGCACACGCAATTCGCCGCTCTCACGCTCTTGTCATCTACCTTTAAGAACTCAGTCCGGTGAGACAAACATTTTTGGTCGGCTCCTATCCCGTGAACAGTAACTTCGCAGTTGGCGTCATACTTACCCACTGTTTCTGCGTTTATGATCATCCCGGTGGGGTGGCTTTGAACTCAAGCTGAACGCCGTCACAGTTGGTCCTCTTTTCTAATTAGCAGGGTCCTAGTGGTCGCCTACTTTTGTTATGTAACTCAAACTCCAATTCATGATATAAGGGCAGCTAGAGAATTCTGGGATGTTATAATGAAGGAGAGTGTTAATAGAAAATGGCGTCCCATGTGGTTTATTTTTCGCTTTACGTGATTGTTTGTGCTGGTTAAAAAAGATTCACGGCTCGACACTTCAACTGAACCTTGCCCTCCGGTAAGTTTCAGGTAAAGGTTGCGCTCAATGTTTGGTTAGAGCTGGAGTCACAGTCAAAAAAGGGCGAACGTTCCTATTGCATTGTCCTGTTGATTTGTATAGTAGACGCCAAAGATCACGCAACATTTTCACAGATGCGAAAGCTTGATACTGTTTCGCTAATCGGCATTGATTCACGTTGTTATACTGATTATCGTGTAGTCTATTCTGAAGTCATTTCAGTCATTATAGGATGCGGGCTTTTTAACGAGCTTCGTTCTGACTACCAGCAAAAAGTATATATGGTGAAAACTGACTACTTGTGTAGTATGCCTTTTTATCATTTATTGTGACTGCCTTTATAAATTAAAATATCTTTTATGGAAAACATGCACGAAAAAATTATTTCTTGTACTCGTTTGATAGAAAATTACACCTTTTTTTGAAATTTAGACTCAAAGAAAGGATAGCCTTCGATTTAAAAAAAGTTGCTAAATTGCCGAATAATTTTCTTAACTAGTGACTGCTACGATCGAATTAAAGGTTTAAAAACTGCGCACTCTGTACATCCTGTTTAAGGAAAAGTACGTTTTCGCCTACAGTTCGACGAAGAAGTCACATAATTGTTATAGAATATTGAAATAGTTGTGGAACATATTTTATGCAGTAAAGGCAGCATTAATAAATCGGCGGATACGATGTGTTATGAATAAACACCTTACAATTGTAAAAAAGCTCATAATTAGCAACTTTTTTAATACTGAAAGGTACCCTTTTTTGAGTATAAATTTTAAAGAAGGTGTAATTTTCTATCAAACAAGTACGAGAAATAATTTTTTCGTGCATGGTTACCAAAAAATGTATTTTAATTTAAAAAGGCAGTCAAAATAAATGATAAAAAAGGCATTCTACATAAGTAGTCAGTTTTTACAATAGATACGTTTTGCTAATGGTCAGAACGAAGCTCGTTAGTAAGCCGGCATCCTATCATGACTGAAATGACTTCAGAAAAGATAACCCGATAATCAGTATCACAACTTGAGTCAATGCCGATTAGCGAAACAGTATCAATCTTTCGCATGTGTCAAAATGTTGCATGATCTTTGGCGTCTACTATATATATACACAATACTGATACTTAGTTCTGAGGAAGTCAGAATCGTTTGTGCAGGGGTGAACATAAAATTGGCATAACTGGTTCATATGTCTCTCTCTCTCCTCTACCACAACATTTTTTCACCGAAAGGATGCTCTGAGATTTCCATACTTTATCTAGTTGATGAGTACTGCGCACATAAGAAAAACCTTTGAATTCTATCGCCTTTCTTCACGTCATGCCAGCGGTTTAATCATCTTCTCAACGATTTCCTGAAATTCATACCTTTTTTTGCAGACGTTTAACTTGATGACAATTGTTTGGGGGTAAAGCAATCCTGCGTACAAACATTTCCATTATACCTTTGTATTTCCATTTTTTACTATGAGCAGCTATTGGAAAAATATATCATTCTTTGTGCACGTTCTTAATGTCAAGTCGAGTTACTTGCAAACCCAAACTTCTATTCAGGAACTACCCATTCCTACGGGGATTGCAGACATCGTGCTTTCGCAAATCGAGGAATGGACGAAGAGCATGAAGTTACCGGTTCAGTACTGGGAAGATTTCGTTCAACTGATACAGAAAAAGGCGAATCCCTTGTGCACGAAAGCGAATTTACGCGAAACTGTACAAATCCTGCAGTATGCTGGTGACGTAAGTACGCTGATCAATTGGTATGTTACCGATCAGCAGTAACCAGGCAACCAGTGCGTCGATACTAACTTCTGGCAAATAATATATGAATTCCTTTCGATGAGGACCATCGCTTAACTGAGGATTCCAGTGGATTCCTAGGCCTTCATACGTAGGAAAATATATTACTTACATCCACCAGTACTTCCTTAATATGCTCTTTTGGTATAGTGGAGCAAAAGTTTACAGATAAATCTAGAAGCAAAAACATTAGATAAGTATAATGATAAATGAGGTTCCTACCACAGAGTTAATAGCAGATTAAGATAGTTTCCGTCTTTCTTCAGTTACTAAAAACCATTGGGGAAGGTATGCTTCGAAAACGAAGAACAACTTCCCCTGCAGCCAGCCCTACATGAAAGATGCTCTTACGTTCTGTACAGACGTGAGCCAAATTTAAGTCGCATCGTTTTGGAAAATGGAAATTAACAATAATTCAAAATAGCCTATTCAACCGAAAAATAACTGCGATTTCATCAAAACTCTCTGCCTCTTCTTGAGTTCATTAAAGTCATATACAGAACAAATAAAGTTTTCATCGAAATATCCAACTAATCCCAGTCAAAACACTAAAGTTTTTTAATTTTTGCATGCTCTTGAGCAAGACAGACATATCTTGGTCAAAGAAGAAACGGCTAAAAGTAATCGAAAAGACGTTTTTCTACGACCATAATGACCCTTCGGTGTAATCAGTCCCTCCAACCGCATAAGGTATGCAGCAAATGGGAGGACAGTTCGAGCCTAGTTGAATTTTTATACACAGCCCTAATAGGTTGTTTTCACTTATGTTTGTAAAGAATAAATATTGGCCGCAATTATCCTCACCTTAGAGTAAATTAAAATAGGTTTTTTAATGATTTCAGCACTTGCTCCAAACTAATTAGTATACTTAAAGCCAAAGACCTCACTTCCAATTGCAGTGTTTCTTCTCCCAATCGGACTTCCTGTTTTACAACTTTAAAGGAATGAAAGGGTTACACTTGCGACCAGATGGGTTTTTCTGTTTGCTAGGACACACGCACCTTTTTGGACAAACTCACAGTGCTCCTAATCCAACAACATTTCATATAAGTTCATATTAGCATTTCATATTAGATCAGCATTTGCCCTTACGTAAGTCACGCTGGTTTCCTGATGCCTGAACGTCACTTTGGTCTTCTGTCCTTTTAAGTAGTCTGATCCTAATTGATTTGTTTGTGTCTTATCTGTCTATCCAGGTGCTTGTCCTAAATGCCAACGATGGGAATGACATCGTAGTACTCACTCCATCCTGGCTTCTGACAGATGTGATCGGCAACCTTTTCTCGCAGGAAACCCTGCTGCATACACGAATCACAGGCAGCTTCACGACGGATGACCTCCAATTTATTGTGGCAGAGAACGATATAGATCTGTTAATAAAGGTCTTGGAGACCCTGGACTGCTGTGTGGCCTGCTTAGTGCAGCCAGAAGTCATGCCAGCCCACGAGCGACGAAGGTCAATCTACTCCTTCTACGAAGATGCCCTCTCAAATGCCACCAGCGTGTACTCTCATACCGGACAGGAACTGCAGCTCGAAATACCTCGACTGAACCTGATTCAGTCCTCCGAAGACGACTGGGGCAAGTATCTGAGGGGCAGTAACATTCGCCGCGCCGGAATTCAACTGAGGAGTTCTAACGATCAGCTGATACACCTCTTTCCGCGAATTCAATGCAGACTTCGAAGGGCCATTCAAGAAATGGAGTTGAATCAGGAAGAAGCAATCCTAACAGACTACTTTCCCACAGTAGCTTGGAACTGGCAACTTGACGGGGAGGAAAACGCTATCAATGTACCAGAGCTCCATCAGTGGATGCACGGTAGCAAGTTGAGCCTCTGCGGTGGCCTAGTGAATATCTACGTGACTTGCGAAGAGCTGGAACAGGTAG